TTTTTTTAAAAAAATTTTGTGTTTTTTTTGTTTATAGCGCAAAAAAATAAAAAGCGCACAGATGATAAAATACCATCAAAAGAAAGCTCTATTTGTGTGAAAAAAAGGACGTAAATTTCGTTTGGGTACAGCATTGCATGACCACGCAATTATCATTTGAATTAGTGCAGCACCAAACAGCAAAAAAAGGCCTGGTCATTAAGGGGGGGTAAATCCTCAGGAGCTCAAGTGGTTAAATATATTCATTCCAAAGTCAATATAAAGTAATTTCACTCTTGTGGGTCACAGTTAATTTTATAGCATTTTACAGTTATTGTCCATGGGTCGCAGCTACCTAGATCTTTCTTAAATTGAAAATTTCTAATCTGCTCTTTACAGTTTGTGAATTCTAGTTCGCGACCACCCTTGTACTGTACGAGCACTGCCATTACCTCCGTTAATCTCAGAGTTAAATATGCCCACTGGTAATAAATATTGAGTAAGAATTAAAACACAAAAATTCAAGGATAATTGTGATTGGTACTTTTAAGGCACAAACAAAAACCAAAAGATATTAAAACTTGTATTTATATTACAAAATCAACATAAAAGTCATATAGTTGAAAAATAGTGGCTGCCACAATAGGTATACTACAACACTTATATAGACATTAAAACTAGCTAACCACTCCAGTTCACACATGGAAAACATAATGAATTAGTTTTTGTTGTGATGAAAAAATCATCCCATGTGGGATAACCCGAGTTTAAAACTTTCTTAAGGAGTTGGAATAGTTTTACATTTGCAATATAGTACATATAGCTGAAAATTTATTGAATACAAGAATATATATATATATATATATATATTCCCCAAGTCTTCCATCCTACATTATGGACACTATTACATTTTCTTCGGAACATTGAAAGTTGTTCATGGTCACTATTGTTCTTGGTCACTATTGATGTAGAGGCTTTGTACAATTTCATACCTCATCATAAAAGTCTTCAAACTATTGCAAATTTTTTACAGCAAGGATGACAACAAGAATGGGCTTATAACCAATTCATTATTGGTCTGTTGGAATCTCTGCTTAAACAAAATGTCTTTTCCCTTGCCAGTTCCCTCTACCACCAGGTACAGGGCGTACCGATGGGGACCTGTCCTGCCTCATCCTACGCAAATCTGTACCTGGTGGGAAAGGGAACATCTGTTTCTCTCAGATGATGAGAAGAGTATGTATACATACTGCATTCTTCCATGGCATTGATACAGAGACAATATTTTCATTGTCTGCAATGGTCCCAAGGCACCCTTACAGCAGTGTTTCAAATTAATTCAATATTTTTAGAGTCACAAGACATTGTCAAGCTCAGACTATGGGAATTTAAATGAATTTAAATGAATTCATCTAAATTCCCATAGTCTGAGCTTTACAATGTCTTGTGACTCTAAAAATATTAAATTTTGGAATGTGGAATTCCCATCAGGATGCTTGGGCAGTAGCCTATTTTGTAAGGCTACAGTCTAACACAATTTTACACCCTTCACATCTCATAGCATCCATATCATATAGTGAATAATTTATGACTGAGGCATAATTACTCACGAGGAGAATTTAAAAATGGAAGCACAAGCCTTGAAGTCACAATTATGTGCGTGAGGGTAAACATCCCTTAAAAAATTTTATCGTAAGGCTTTACAACAATCATGTCTTCATCTTCTTGATCTTCTATACAAAACCACTACACGCATCATTACTATATATACACCAATCAACATGCCAAAGTGAGGACTATCAATAAATGCTGGCATCTGCTCACTTCAGCTCCCACTGTGGCCAAGTTTGTGGATGCACCCCTAATTACATTCAAATGTGCTCCACTTTTGTAGGACAAACAGGTACAAAGTTCTTACAGAGGGGAATGGAGAGGGGATCCATGAAGGACCAGAGGCGCATTTAGATGCTAGAAGCGTTCCTATCCTGATCCTATACTGGTGGATTATTGGTGCTGCCAAATGGAGTAAGCTATAGTACCAGGCATTTTGTCAATTGCAACACTGTAGGTGTTATATACCGCTCACTGTGTACTAGTGATGCCTTCTATGTAGGAAAAACCAAGAGAGCTATGGAAAAGCATGTATGATCATTTTCATGCAATAAATATAGGCAAATTATAGACACCTAGTTCATCAACATCCACTTGGTGGGGAATAAAAAAAAAAAAAAATTGTATTACGAAAGCTCAGATGCATATCTTTCGAGCTACTACCCTCTCCTCCCCCTCCAGTCTGAACGATCTTGTCAAATTTAAGTCATTTTTAGACAGCTTCAATTCTGGCAAACCTGAAGTACAACCCCAATGCCAAAAAAGTTGGGACGTGGTGTAAAATCTACATAAAAACAGAATGCAATGATTTGCAAATCTCAAACATACAGTATATTTTATTCACAATAGAAAAATCACATAAAATAAAAAAAAATTACCATTTTAGAAAACAAATAATTTTAAAATTGATGGCAGCAACACATCCCAAATAAGTTGAAGCATGGCAACAAAAAGCTGGCAAAGTAAGTTGTACTAACAAAGAAGAGCTGGAAGAACATTTTGCAATCAATTAGGTTAATTGACTGGAGGTCAGTAACATGATTGGGTATAAAAAAAGAGCATCTTAGAGAGTCACAGTGTCTCAGGAGTAAAGATGAGCAGAGGTTCACCAATCTCTAAAAAGCTGCATCTAAAAAAATTGTCAAACAATTTCAGAATAATGTTGCTCAATGTAAAATTGCAAAGGCTTTAAACATATCCTCATCTACAGTTCATAATATCGTCAAAAGATTCCTAAAATATGGATAAATCTCTGAGTAAGGGACAAGGCTGAAAAGCAATACTGGATGCCCTTGATCTTTGGGCCCTCAGACCGCACTGCATTAAAAACTGACATGATTATGTGAAGGACATTACTGCTCAAAAATACTTCCAAAAATCAATGTCTGTGAACACATTTTGTTGTACAATGCAAAAATGCAAGGTAAAGCTCTATCATGCAAATAAGCCATATCAGCATGATCCTGAAACAATGCCATCTTCTCTGGGCCAAAGATCATTTAAAATGGTCTGCTGCAAAGTAGAAAATTGTTCTGCAGTCAAAACGAACCAAAATATTACATTCTTTTTGGCAACCATGGACATCGCATCCTCCAGACTACAGAGGAGAGGGACCTTTTCGCTTATCACGCTCGCTTAAAAAGCCTACATCTTTGATGGTATGGGGGTGCATCTCTTAGATTGTAAGCTCCAAGGAGCAGGGCCCTCCTAACCCTCGTGTATTGAACTGTATCGTTGCTGTATTGTATCCCTTTATATTGTAAAGCGCTGAGCAGACCGTTGGTGCTATATATAAATCTTGTATAATAATAATAATAATAATAATAATAACTAGAAAAGCTATAATTTCTGGGGAAATTGTGTGAAGTGTTCTTGCCTCCACCAATAGTCTAGGGCTTGAAAATGAAGGAGTGGTGGCAGTTTAGAAATCATGTCCTGATTTTTCAGCTCACACTCTAGCTTTTGTCACTCTGCTGCCTGCTCACACACCTGGGTTCCTATGGCAACTCACTCTACAGCAAGGGCAGAGAAGAGCGGTTAGAAAACAAACTGCTCCAACTTGCTCACTTCACTAGCGGTTGTCATCTTCAAACGGTTGTAGTTTAAAAATTATAAATCCTATACCAAAGAGCTTTATATTGTGAGAATCACAAGACCCAGACCTGCATTTTGATGCATAGTATGTCTCTGAAATATTAAAAATGAAGGCACAGTTGCAGTTTAGAAATTGCCCTTCAAATTTGAGGTGGCTAGAGTGGCGTTTCAATGAATGTCAATGGGCGGCGTGAGTTGCAAACAAATGGTCATATTGTGAAAACTATCAGGACTATGGCTTAGCCGTGGACATTTTTAGTGGCAGCAGGGATAGCTGAACGTTTTGATATAAGATTTGTGTAGGTGGGCTTGAAAATGAGGGAGTGATGGCAGTTTAGAAATCATGTCCTGATTTTTCAGCTCCCACTCTAGCTTTTGTCAGCTCCCACTCTAGTTTTGAACATTCATTCCTATGGGACCAATTTCACCACAAAAACGCCGATATTTCGTGAACCATTTGGCGAAACGTTCCACAAAGTAATAGCACACCAATCGGGAACAATCCGCACGTTTCGGTACATTACTGTCTATGTAGTGTAAAAACTGTGGGAGGAGTTAGGGTGGTAAATTTGGCTATAACAATAAGAATATATATGTGAGATAACAGAAAGTGGTCTATGCTCCCATCCAGACAATGTCTTTTTCAGGGAAGACCTTATTTCAGCAAAACAACACTAAAGCACATACTGTATCTATGACAGCAGCATGGCTTCATAGTAGAAGAGTTTGGGTGCTTAACTGGCCTGCCTGCTGTCCAGATGTTTCACCAATTGACATAATTGTTCACAAAATTACAACAAAGAAGACCCAGGACTGATGAGCAGTTAGAATCCTACTTAAGGCAAGAATGGGAGAACATTCCCCTCCCAAAACTTCAGCAATTGGTCTCCTCAGTTCCCAGACATTTACAGCGTGTTGTTAAAAGAAGACTGGATAATACACTGTGGTAAAACATGGTCCTGTCCCAACTTTTTAACCACAAACCTACAGGGCACTTATACCCCCTTCCTGCTCAGGCCAATTTCCAGCTTTCAGCGCTGTTGCACTTTGAATGACTTTGAATGACAATTGCACGGTCATGCAACACCGTACCCATAGGAAATTATCATTTTTTTTTGTGACAGAGCTTTATTTTGGTGTTATTTAATCAACTCTGGGTTTTTTTTTATTTAAAAAAAAAAATATAAAAAAATTTTCTTAGTTTTTGTTATAAAATTTTATAAATAAGTGATTTTTTTCTCCTTCACTGATGTGCGCTAATGAGGCTGTAGTGATGGGCACTGATAGGCTGCATTTATGGACACTGATAGGTGGCAATGATGAGGAGGCACTGGTAGGTGGCACTGATGGGCATTGACAGGCATTACTGATGGGCACTGAAAGGCAGCACTGATATATGGCATGGATAGGCGGCACGGACTGGCACTGTTAGGCGGCACTGACTGGCAGCACTGATAGGTGGCACTGAAAGGCAGCTCAGATGGGCACTGATATGTGGCATTGATGTGCACTGGTAGGCACTGATATGTGGCATTGATGTGGCACTGGTGGACACTGACAGGTGGCACTGCTGGGGCTACACTGATCATCAGTTCTCTGATGATCAGTATACATGTCCCCTCCGCGGAATGCCGATTACCGGCTCTCCTCTCTTCTTGAGCTGTCAGCGTGACAGCTCGAAAGGAGAGAAATGCCGATAACCAGCATTTCCCTGTTTACATGTGATCAGCTGTGATTGGACACAGCTGATCACATGACCGAGCTGACATCTTCGGCTCTTTCCGTGGATTGGTGATCCGCTGTGTCCATATATGGTAGGCTCTTTTTGTTCCCCCGGATTGCGTGGCTCTTGTGCCATCTGTTGGGGGAAGGGAGGTGCCTGGTGAGGCGGTGTACCTTCTCCATCCATATTTTCACCATGATATCAACCCCTTTTCACTGCATACCCTTGTGGATGGACAGAGGTGGCTAATCGCAGTAGAAATGATGTGCATGCAACTCAGAAGTGATGGGGATTGCATATAAGATGTGAATTTCCATCGTCTTCTAGCAAGTGATTTTGGTTCTATTTGGTGCAGAAAAGCACCAATATAGATACCTAGTATTGGCTATTTCAGGTCACATGGGTTAATACCCTCACATATGGACTATTTAGAATACCATTAGACATTTTGTGTTTGCTGGTGGCTCCGTCATGGACAACTGCCAGATATTAGTAGGACTCTTTACTGAGCTCATCATTGACTGTCATCTGCACAAGGAGAAGTAAAGTTCACCCACAGGCTATTCAGCTTGCATTTTTAACCTTGTTATTTAGACCATGGCTTTTAAATCTTGTAATTATATACTAGCCTGACAGACTTTTTTTAAATTTACCTTTACAGTTAAACTTTTTGGAGTATCTCCTGCAATCTTGGTGTATGCACCCCAGCTCCCTGACTGTGGCAGATTTTGGAAGGATGGCCCCTTATCTATACTGTGCCTGTTTCACAACATATACAGGTAAACACACTTTGCCATAACATTACATACACGGGAGAGCCACATTAAGGTGAAATGATTATTGAATGCATATTCTTGCATTATAAAATTTTAAGCTGTATGAATACGATATTGTAGATGTGGTTCTGAATTTTGCAAAAGCATTTGATACAGTTCCCCATAAATGATTCATTTACAAACAGAGGTCTGTTGGCATGGACCATAGGGTATGTACCTGGATAGCAAACTAGTTAGAGGGGAGGGTCCAAAGGGTGGTGATAAATATTGTGTACTCAGAATGGTCTGGAGTGGTAAGTGGGGTAACTCAAAGCACGGTCCTGGGACCAATTCTGTTTAGTTTATTCAGAAATTATATAGATTGATATAAATAGCTCAACCTCAGTTTTTCCTGATGATACAATGCTAAGCAGGGCAATAACTTCACAGCAGGATATAGAAAGGTTACAAGAAGACCCCAATAAAATAGAGGGTTGGGCAACTACATGGCAAATTAGGTTTAATGTTGAAAAATGTAAAGTAATGCACTTGGAGGATAAAGATATGAATGCAAGTTACTCGCTAAGGGAAGAACCTTTAGGTGAATCGAAGTTGGAAAAAGATCTGGGGTTCCTAGTAGATCACAGGCTCAAAATGGTAGGCAAAGCCAGGCTGCATCAAGGATAATATTAACATGAATTAAAAAGGGTATTTTAGGGGCGTGGCTTGGTGCTGTATGGGGATAACCGCTTCAATCCAGAGCTCCGTGGCTTAGAGGGAATACTGTCGGCTTTCCTCCATTTCTTGGGCAAACATGGGCAAGATTCAGTGACCAGTCTACTCCTCCAAGACCCCCCACTTGAAGCTGGGTCGGAACTTACCCGAAATCTTTCGGAAACCAGCCGCCTGAGATGCTGCAGGACTTGTGGCCTAGCTCATCTCCTGCTATGACCTCACGTAAGGCGGCGGGACAACCCCCGAAGGCTAAAGGCAGGCTTGACTTGGACATTGTGCTCACTCTAATTCAGCAGATGCCAAAGATGTTGGATCTACAATCCATTGCTGCAGCCATCAAGAATGCCGTCCCAGATCTGAAAGATGAGTTCCTGGGAGTATCGCATTGGCTGGAGGTGGCAGAAGACACAGTAACCCGCCATGATACAGACATGCTGGAGATAAGGGAGGATTCACTACGGCTCTCTAGACACCTTATGGAAATGCAAAGCAAACTTGAGGCTTTAGATAATTGGGGCACAGGAATCTACGGATCTAGGAGATCCTGGAATCAGTAGACCGAGAACAACTGCCTTCGGCCCTGCAAATCCTATTTAATGAACTCCTCAAATGCCTGAGAGATGCCCCAGTGGAGTTCGCAAGAGAAAATCAGGCCCTGTGGCTGAGAAGGAGACCCACCACAAGATGTGATTTGCTGCTTTACAAGCTTTAAACTGAAGAAAGACACTCCCGGGAGAAAGAAAAGTTCACCTTCAATGGGGCAGACGTGAAGGTCTTTCAGGACTTGTGACCGCTCACGCTCCAGAACTGCCGGGCCTTGAAGCCTATTACCTTGGCCCTCACAGCACACAACATTCCACACTCTTGCAGTTCCCTTTTGCTCTTCAAGGCAAAACGGCCGTTCTGCAAAAACCACATGATCTGGAGAAGTTTTTTGACATCCTTCAAGTACCTCAGATCCCAAATCCAGAATTGTATAGTGAATTCCTCAGAACATCCCCACCGATGACCCATCTGGCTACCAACAGGCTCGACGGGATCAACAACCTCGACCATACCACAGACAACGATCAGTCGCCGACCCTCCTCGTGACTCCCAAGAGACAGATAAGTACAGGGTCTTGCTACCCAGCATTATGGCTCATTAGACGCCCTCTTTTTCTAGTTCTCTATTGCAGGCTATCCCTAAGTTTTCAGTCTGTTTTGGAATGGTATAGTGAATTCCATTCCAGTCTTTGACATCTCTCAAGTGCCTCTGATCCCAGTCCCGTAATGATATAGTGAATTCCTCACTCAAAGCATCCCCACCGATGGTCCATCTGGCTACCAACAGGCTCAACAGGATCGCCGACAGTGATCAGCCGCAGACCCTCCTTGGGACTCCTAAGAGACAGATAAGTACGGGGTCTTGCTACCCAGCATTATGGCTTATTAGAGACACCCTTTTTTTCTTGTTCTTTATTACAGGCTAAGTTTTCAGTCTGTTTGGGATTTTTGCACACAGCGGCAACTCCTGCCTTTTGCCCTTTGGGTTCTTGGAATTACACCGTGTTCCAAATTATTATGCAAATGATATTTTTCTCATTTACCTAAATAATTGATGTAAATAACAGTCAGCATAATTCTCATGTTATCAACTATTAAGAGTACAATTCAAATTTTATTGAACAAACCTCCTAATAACAGTATTTTTTTAAACATAAAACACTTACAATGCACTGTTCCAAATTATTATGCACAGTAAGTTTCAAAACACTTTATAGGTTGTAAAGAACTGAAAATTGTCATTTGTTGTGTTTGCAGCATATTTACTGAAATCAAAAGCTATTTCAATCAAACTTTTAACAACATTTTAACTTTTTAAACATTTTAACAGGTCACGTTACATTGTAACATAGGACCCCTTATTTGAAAGCAGCTTCACAAGTCTTGCATCCATTGAACTTGTGAGTTTTTGGACAGTTTCTGCTTGAATTTGTTTGCAAGATGTCCGAATAGCCTCCCACAGCTGCTGTTTGGATGTAAACTTCCTCCCACCCTCATAGATCTTTTGCTTGAGGATGCTCCAAAAAGGTTCTCAATAGGATTGAGATCAGGGGGAGGATGGAGGCCACACCATGACTTTCTCTCCTTTTATCCCCATAACAGCCATTGATGCAGAGGTATTATTTGCAGCATGAGATGGTGCATTGTCATGCATGAAGATGATTTTATTACGGAAAGCATAGTTCTTCCTTCTGTACTAGGGAAGAAAGTGGTCAGTCATAAACTCCACATACTTTGCAGAAGTCATCTTTACACCTTCGGGGGCTCTAAAGGGGCCAACCCGCTCTGTTCCCATGATTCCGGCCCAAAACATGACTCCACAACTGCCTTGCTGACGTCACAGCCTTGTTGGAACAGGGTGGCAGTCCACCAACCATCCACTACTCTATCCATCTGGACCATCCAGGGTTGCATGGCACTCATCAGTGAACAGAACTGTTTGAAAATTAGTCTTCATGTGTTTTTCTGCCCAATGCAGCCATTTCTGCTTGTGAGCATTGGTTAGTGGTGGCCGAATAGAAGGTTTATGCACAGTTGCAAGACTGGAGGACTCTACACCTTGATGTCTGTGGGACTCCAGAGACACCAGCAGCTTCAAATATCTGCTTGCTGCTATGTAATGGTATTTTAGCAGCTGCTCTCTTGATCCGATGCATGGATCTGGCAGAAATCTTCCTCAATGTGCCTTTATCTGCACTAACCCGCCTGTGCTCTGAATCAGCCACAAATCTCTTAATAGTGTGATGATCACGCTTAAGTTTTTGTGAAATATCGAATGTTTTCATACCTCGTCCAAGGCATTGAACTATTTCACTCTTTTCTGCAGCAGAGAGATCCTTTTTCTTCCCCATATTGCTTGAAAATGGTGCTCTGCTTAATAATGTGGAACACCGTCCTTTAGTAGTTTTTCCTTAAATTGGGCTCACCGGCCAATCTAATTATCACAGGTGTCCGAGATTGTTTTCAGTGATCAAAAGAGCCCTGACACACAATGCCATCCATGAGTTAAACTGAAAAACAAAATATTTCATCTTTGTGACACTTAAATAGAATTTGCATAATAATTTGGAACGCGGTGTATTGAGACTTTGTGGGAACTGCCACTGTCCTACCCCATGAGTTGATGACCTACTGCCGTTTTATTTTGGCCTTTGTGTGTTTGGGGATCTTCCTCTTCGGTCGGGGGTACTCCACTGACCGCATTTCCTTCTGTTGATTACAAAGTACATAGTCCTTTCTGTGCACTGCGAAAAGGAGGAAAGCACCTCCTTCAGGTATGAGGTTCTATTCACTGAATGCTATGGGTCTTAATATCCCAGAAAAAAGGTAATCCAAGAACTCCACAGGCATCGTGTACACATAGCATTTATTCAAGAGACGCACTTTAAGCAAGCTGATGCTCCAAAACTAACCAATATCACGTTTCCCACAACATATTATGCTTCGAACCCCTCACTAAGGATGAGAAGAGTTGCTATTCTTTTTGCAAAGACTGTCAAATTTCAACGCCGTTATCTTTTCCTTAAAGGAATGCTGGA